TAGATCTCTAGTTAAAAATATTTTGTTATACTCTGACATCTCCCCTATACTGAGATCACTGCAGATGGAAGGTATTCAGATGTAACAATAAGATGTTGAGGAATTTCCTTTTAAAAGAACTTTTCCCAAATCCAATTAGAAGACGTTACATTTTAAAGGACTTTACAGCAGATCAGATTATTAAAATAAGAAGTAATGACATAACTTACCCTCTGCCACCAAAAGCGAAAGAGATGCAATTCAAAATGATCAATGAAATGTATCCAACTAAAGAATTTTTGACTTTAAGTTTAAGTTTGATACAGAATATTGTGTTTTTTGCATGAGAAACGTTGAGAGTTTGAAGCATTTATTTTTCTTTTATGAACCAATCTTTAAATTCTGGAAAGATTTCCAAAGTTGGCTAATATGTAAGAACGTTGTTTTGTCACTTCTATCTGACACAAGTATTTTATTTGGTTTAGAAAGTGAGAATAAGACTCTTGAATATTTAGGAAATTACCTTAAACTGATGGGAACATTTTTCATTCACAGATGTAGGTATTTTAAGACAAAGCCCAATTTTTGCCATTGGAAAAATGACTTAGATTTATATTAAAAGTCTCTGAGACTGACTAATTCCAAACCAAAGTATCATCCTTATTGGGAAAACTTGAAGTTGATATAAAATTGCCCTTTGTTATTATTTTATTACTTTACTTTTGTACAGTTTTTTTTTTATTTTATTTCAGACACAATTCAGGTGTGTAAATGGTGTAATGTTTATGGTGTCTTGTTTCTGTATTATTTCATGGTCTTTATTATTTATATACTTGATTGATGATGCTCCATTTTACGAATAAACTTGATCTGTTAAGAAGTTGTTTTGAATTGAAATCCATGTACATTTTGCCCTGTCATTGTTTTGTAATTTGTAAAATTTGCATTAATTAAAAATAAATAAATAAATAACAAAATTCGTGGCTCTCACTGAGCTGACGGTTGTTACGCCATTTCCTTAAATTGTTTTCTAAAGGTTTTGGTGCTTTATAAAATACTAATAAAAAAATACAGTTGTTTTGTAAAAAAAAAAAAAAGAAAAGAAAAGAAAAAGAAAAAAATGTCCCTCCACACCTGCAGGTCATTTAGTTATTTCCGTGTTTTATGCTGAAAAGCAGCAGGAAGTGTTCCGCTGTGGGCGGGTCCCTGAACGCAGCACTTGATGCTCCGCTGTGATCATCTGCAGGGAAACCAGGAGCAGAAGATCAGGCTGCAGTCATGCTGAAGTCCCGGCCTGTTTGGACTCTGCTGCTGCTGCTGCTGCCGCTGCAAGGTAGGAGGAACACAGGGAAGCTCTGCAGCAGGTCTGCAGACTGCTGCTGCTGCAGACCTGCAGCCTCATGATCAGTCGCTCTGCTGCACCAACAGCTTAATGTTTGATGCCTCCATCATTGAGTCTGTCTGGTTCCAGAAATGAATCTGGTTCCTAATAATCCGCTGATGCTCATAGAAGATGCCTGCAGCCCAGTGGAGGAGCTCTGGGTGTTTCCCACAGACACAAAGGCCGGAAGTCATCAGCAGCCATCCCATCCAGCCCTTACCTCAGCAGAACTTCGGTCGCCTAGCAACCGTGATGGCGCGAGGCAGAGGAGCCAATAGATGCTAAACCTTTTTTTTTTTCCTTTGAAAGAAATATTTCTACTTTATTCAAAGAAAAGCTGCAGATTTATCACGTCGTTATTTTTAATGATCGAACTTTACAGAAATAAAATGAAGTGACAGAAGAAGATGCAGATATTTAATACATAGATGCAGCAATAAAACAGGAAGAGCTTCCATGTTTGGATGAACTTTAATCAGCTGAAGAAAAGAAGGAAAAATCTGGAAACTCAGGAGTTTTATTTTATTTAAACATTTCCTTTAAATTTCATTTTTTAACCGAGTTCTTTATTTTTTTTATTACACTGTAATAATTTTTCTCCACAAAGAGAAGAAACTCTGAGTTTATTCACAGATTTCTGCGACTTTAACAATAAAAAGTTTAAACTATTAGTGATTATTGGGATTTTTATTTTAGACACACAAACATAAAAAAATAATTTATTAACAATGAGCAGCTGATGGACTAGAAACAGGAAAAAGATGACTGCCTTTTATAATAGTTCTTCTACAGTAAGAAGATTTAGGGCAAAGGTCAGAGCCAGTTTACCTGTCCAGGTGAACCCGCCTCTCGCCCAATGACAGACAGGCAGCAGCACCTGGTGACCCCAGCAGGGATAAACGTCACAATAATGACATTTAACAACCAATATATAATATCACGTGATTCATAATAACACTATCATGTTTTTAATCCTCGTTAATGTTGTACAGTCTATTCGTTCCTGATCTACATTCTTCCATAAATCTCGTTTCTTCTTGTTTCTGATTTTCTGAACCTTTTTTATTTATGACAATTATTTTTATATTTGACAGTTTTTAATCTAAAGTTGGTTTGTTTGCTCTCTATAATCTGCTTTATTTAGATTTTAATGAACTCTCATTTGAATTATGAATATTATAAATGTATTTTTCTTTAGATTTAAGGTTAATTTGTTTGAATCAAACAAACACTTTTATGTATTTCATTCTTTTTCAATTGTCTCCATATTATAATAATATAAAATATAATATTTTTTTAGGCTAAACTTAAATAATTCATAGAAAGAAAATGATAAAGGATGCAACACTGACCCCTACAGGAGACCAGTGGTCATTGTCAGTAACTGAATCAGTATTTTTAATGTTTTTTAATCTATTTTCTAAATAACTATTAATCTAAGAAAGAGCCTGATTCCATATCTAAACATTTATAAAGTAATAATTTATTATTAACAGGATTAAAATCCCTCTGCAGAGTTTGTTGTTTATCATCAGACGTCGTCTGCAGAGCAGTGATCCTTTCAGACCTGAACCGTTATCGCTGTTCGCAGAGATCATCTTATTTTACGGTAAAATTATATCATCTTTTATTATTTCCTTTGATATTTTTTTAAAGTCCGGCTTGTTTCCATCTTTATAAATCTGTTAAACTCTTTGAGGAAACCTGCTGAACTCTGGTTCCAGATGTGGTTTGATTTTTAATAACATTTTTTATCCTTCTGAGTTTTTACTTTCAAATCTTTTAACAATCAGTTTCTTTTCAGTTAATCTGAAATAGTTTTATGTAAATTAGTTATTATTTAGTAATTTTTCCTACGATATCTTGGTGATCATGATCAGAATTGATCCATTTTGTTTGGCTCAATATCAGTAAATTATTTATTAAATTTATTGAAATCTCATTAGACCGGCTGATCTTTCGCTTCTAGTAAAACTAGAACTTTTATGATCTTATTTATAAAATACCAATTAATTCTGATATTTGATTGATTTTCCTTAAATTCTTTAATTAATTTCTCATAATTCTTTAGGTTTTATATGAATCCAGAAGTTTCTGTATCTCCTGCAGATCTTGGGCCCATTTCTTCACCAGACGTCGTCCTTAGATGGTTATAAACTATTTTAACGGTGTCTGCTACCAACCAGCTGCTGAGAAATTTCAACCATTAATTTTCATTGGTTGGAGCTCAGTGGTGCCTCCTCCCACACAGCAGCCATCTTGACTAGTCCTGAGTAACGTAAACAGATAAAACTCTTAAATTCAGATCTGCTGAAGCTCTCAGTCTGCAACACTTTAGCTGCTGGTGAAGATTCTCAGTCATCCAGGTCATCGTCATTCTAAGGGGCTGCTGGATAAAACCTGGAACTAAACGCTATTTCTGACATTTTGAATTGAAAAAGCTTCCTGGATGGAAGAGAAACGTCTTAAAACTTGGAGACAAAGTCCAGTGGATTGATTTTTACACCACTGAGCAAAGAAAAGTCTGGATTTTCCTCCAAAATTGATTGTTTGTGGAATCGATCAGAATCAAACCCTGAAACGATCACTGAACCCTGGAGGAATCTGCTCCCTCTGAACGCTTCACAGTCAGAAAATCTGCTGTCCAACCAGAGGGGGCGCCATCCCTGCATCCAGGTTCCTGCTCTCTGATTGGTCCTCCTGGGATCTTCCTCAGCTGAAGGTTTCTCTGACCATGAGGTGAACCTGAACCCATCCAAGCAGGTTGAAAATGTTTGGGGTCAGAGGTCGTCATGTTTTCACGGTGCTCTCCATGGTTCACCAGGATCCTGTCATGGAGGACGCTGCATCCCAGCAGCGTCGCATCATGACGTTTGGGCTGATTGTGACGGAAGGATGAGGAATCTGAGCGTTAGCTTGGATCCCAAACTTTAACCGTCTTATTCTTCTGCTCTTTGTCCTGCAGTCGTGTCTCAGGGGGACTTTGACCTGACGGATGCTCTGGATGACGGGAACAAACCAGGTAAGGTCTCATCCATGTTCACACCAGAACTGCTGGATTCCTTTGAGTTTCTGTAAAAACCATAAATCCGTTTTATGTCTGAGTTAGCTTAGCGGCGAAGTTCTTCCTGTTTCAGGAGTTCACAGAAACAGGAAGTTAGTTTGTGGTTGACCTGCAGTGACGTCGTCTAGTTTAGACGTTTCCTTCATGGTTGGAGCAGCGTTCATGTTTCTCCATCGTCTGTTTTTCACTGCAGCTCCGACATCGAGGCCCGGAAAAGGAAAAGGTGAGATGTGCAGCATGACCTCTGCATCACTGACTGACCTCTGCAGTTTGAAATCACATTTTATTTGTTTAAGATAAATACATTAATTAGAGTCATTCTGATCCTTTTATGTGAGACAAATATAATAATTTACTGTCTTTATGCACATTCACAGGGACGTAGCATTAGCACCAGTAGCAGGTCGCTATGGTTGGTTTACCGTCGTTTCCTGATCTCTGACACAATCAGGAAAAACAAGAAGAAACACTGACTGTCTGATGTTAGCATAGCGATAGCAAGGAGGGCTAATGTTAGCATGGAGATAGCAAGGGGGGCTAATGTTAGCAAGGTGATAGCTAGGAGGGCTAATGTTAGCATGGAGATAGCAAGGAGGGCTAATGTTAGCAAGGTGATAGCTAGGAGGGCTAATGTTAGCATGGAGATAGCAAGGAGGGCTAATGTTAGCAAGGTGATAGCTAGGAGGGCTAATGTTAGCATGGAGATAGCAAGGAGGGCTAATGTT